AACCTAACTAACTAAATACTAATAATAAGTTAAGTACGTAGTATATAATAATAGATATATATATATATATATATATATATATATATATATATATATTATTGATTACCCAAATGTAAAATAAGGTAATTGTGATATAATATCAGAAATTAGAATATTAAGTCCTTTTTTAAAAAACAGTGTCAGTTAAACTTTTGGAATAATAATAATAAAAACATGACCATAAAAGACTGGAACTCAGAGAATTATAATCAGTAAAGGTACAAGTTTATTTAACAATTATGGATTCTCACACACATAGTTATAAAACTGTCATAAATTTAAACTATTTGATTTTTAAAAATGTTCTGTTTTAATCAAAACATCAAAAATGTCATAGAACTAATTTAAGAATATATAACAACTTCCAGTTATATTCAGCTTGACTCAAATTGACAGACACAGAATCAGTGTTACTAATAACTGGTTTATACTGATCAGAGAATGTTTCAAATGCTAGTTGCCTAGTAGAGGTGGAAGGTGTCAGTCAGTCTGACATAGATGGAATCAATCTTTCTGTTTTTTGATATTTGTTCACTGTAATATGAACGAGGGTAATTGACTGTAGGTTTCTCCTATTTTGCTTTCAGAAATGAAAAGCTTGTCAAAGTATTATATTATGTGGCATTGATCATATTAGTTTAGGATTAATGTGATATCATTCTGGAAAATTTTAAATTAGACATACCTGTAAAGTGAAATTTGTAAAAAAAAAGTGTATCTTATGAAATACGTTTTTGGGTAGATTTTGAAATTACATGGGTGAGGTTTTTACTTAAAGATTACATGTACCACAAAAAAGATGTTTCTTTTATCGGTGTAAACTGTATCTCATGAAGAACAACTGTTTGAGAAGTAGACGTACATTTAAAACAAATGACACATACACCATGCCTTTATTCACTAATTCTGAATCAAGAAAGCAGCACCATAGTTCTACATGTATTTGGATGAAGTAATAAAGTACTGGCAGTAAAAGTGATACAAAGCTCTGCAATTCCTTCATGGGTTCTCATTAGCAAATTTACAAAAGATTGCTGCAAAACTATAGGACCAATTACAGTAAGGTAAACAAACCGAGTACCAAATTTGTTTGTTTTGCCACCATATCTATATGTATGGAAATAATAACTGTTAAAGTTATGAAATAAGCAAAATAAAGTTTTTTTGTTTTATTCATTAACATAGGTATGTTCATTGGTTTATTTAACCCCACAAGCATGGAATAGTTACATTCAAAATTTAATTAAACAACTCCATTATCAATGTATTCCAATAAACTGGACATCAAATACAGATTTAGAATTCAATTTTTAATTTATAGAAGTTTGAATTTTGTAATTTTTAAAAAATTCGAAATTTGAATGAATTATATATCTTCTCATCACACGACGCTTTGTTTTGAATTGTCTGTTTTAGATTTTCTTTCTATCCCTATGCGATCTGAGTTTGACACAAATTTCACACTTACAGATATTGCTAAGGCATAACATAAATTTATAGCTCCACCCATATGCAGTGTGTCTCTTCTGTTACATCCTGCTTTTCAAAAAAATATCAATAATTCTCTTTGGCTTTTGCTATTAGATTGTTTATAACACACAGAAAGTGAAGATCCTGCTTTACTAAATTACTTAAGTAATTAGCATTCTGTTTTGTGTATGATAATATTTGTGTTCTAAGTTGCATATTTGAAATAAAAAATATATTTTGGAACACCAACATTGTTAAAAAAGAAACAAGCTCATTGTGCCTTGTTTTCTAACAGTAAAAAGAATGAGTGCTAAATTTCTTGTTTTTATGTATATTTTTATTTATTATAAAGGTAACTAAAATGTAAAAAATTCAGAAACGTGTTTTCTAACAGTAAAAAGAATAAGTGCTAAATTTCTTGTTTTTATGTATATTTTTATTTATTATAAAGGTAACTAAAATGTAAAAAATTCAGAAACGTGTTGGTTTAGATTAAAAAATGGGGTAGGTTTAAATGGGAAAAAATAGTTAGTTGTAATAGTAAGTGCAGCTGTAAAGCAATAAAACGTATGAACCCATATCTGAAAAGTGTTTGCTATGGCTGTAAGAATAAATAGCGTGCAATTTACCTATTACCATATACAGCCATACAGAAAAGAAGAAAAGGGTAATTTAAATTTCATATTTTTCAATGTTTCATTTTATCCTACATTGCTGATTTGCTAGAGTTAGTGTTAAGATACAGAAACTAAATATTAAGGTTTTTACTGAAAAAAAAATTTACATTAATTTAGGATGTTCTAGAAGTTACGCAAATGAAATATGAAAACTGTAAGAAGAAAAGCAGAATTTTTATTCTTAGCATGTGAATCATCTGACACTCAAGACTAGTTAGCATGAGTCAGACTTAACTCTGTCAATTCACAGACAAATATTTAGTAAAAATACCTTAAAATCTGATTTTTGTTTTCTTTTTGTCCAACAGACTGTTAGTGTTTACTTAATGCTTGCCAAATTTTGTGAAGATAGTTAGTAAATTCTGACTTGTGTATAGTTTCATGATTACAAGCTCATTCATTTTGACCAAGCCTGTACACAGAGGATTAAGCTATACACTATTGTCTTGTCATATTAGATGTCACAGACACAAGATTCTTTATAAATTCTCACCATCACAACTTTAGACCTATAATAATGAATACCCATTTGCAGATTTTAATACACACATACACAGGGATGAATGAAAGTTGAAATTCTCATTTTTTTAGTGGTATGTTTCTGTGAGTAATATATTTTTATATTTCAAGTAATTTTTGTTATGTCAGTTTTTTTTACTGCTGCTAAGATTCATATGTGGCAAACACTGATGTTTTTTTGCTATTAAAGCTATCCATGCCTGTGTGGAATTTATTTCATTGGCTTTCATATTAATGGTAGGATGGCCTTCATGTGTCATTTATTATTACTATGGGATTAGCAAGAGGGAAAATTTAACTGGCTCTATTTTTAAATGTTGTGTTAAAAAACTATGTTTACAGGAGTGTACCCATGTAGCTTCTTGTGTAACCAACAAAAAATATTTTTTGAACTTGTAGGTTTCAAATTTTATTTGCATAACCCCTAGAACCTCAAGTGAATATCAAAAGTTCTTTTTAATTTGAGTTAAATATTTATATAATTTTTTCTGTATGATATTATTAACTGTAGCTGTTATCGTCAAGTTATACTATATAGTCTATAGTACATTACAATCAAATGTTTAAAATTAAGACATAGGAAAATTGGACATACCTTTTAATATTTTCACATATAATTTTATTTTAATGTTTTATTATCCTTTCCTGTTCATTAGTGGTTATTTATCACAACACATGTCAGTGGGTGTTTCTTATGAACATAACACATAATTAAGTAAAATATAAGTAAAACCTAAATATAGTGCAACTGTCTGTCTAATATATTTCTAGGTGAGAAATAATGCTAAAGTGGTGCTTACAAAGCAGCAACAATAATAATAATAGCAGTTTTGACTAATTCTCTTTGTAATTCTTTGCACCAATTTTAAAATAACAGTTAACTCTTTCAGCATGGGTTCAATCCCTGGGACCGACCTCGTAACCATTTTGTGCTTGTTATAGTTTTCATGCCATAACTTTTAAATTAGTTATCGAATGCTAACGAAATTTGGCAGATTATCAGTAAACATTACAATGCTTTCATACACAAAATATCAGAATTTTTTATTGTCTTAACGTTTGTAAAGCAATGTTTTTTTTTCGTGTCTTTTTATTCTTATTGCATGTTGCCTATCTATCATGCAAAGTAATGTTAAATGTAAGATTAAAAATACTTTTATGCATCAGAAAATTTTGAAATTTCACATGTGAAATCTTTATAATGTCCAGATAATTATCAAATGTTTCTTAAAAAACTTTATATTTTATCTATTATTTTCAGTAATTAATCTCTGTACGGGTTTGTTAGATTTGGCTGATCTCACAACCTCCATAAAAAAAAGTAGGAAATAGATATAAATTATGCCTCTTTCATTCTAGAATGAACACAAATTATA